ATCTGATACAGGAAAGAGGCTTCACTCTCTCTGTGGCTCTGGATGGAGGCTCCGTTTTGGTCACCTACCCATATGACAAACCAGTGCAATCTGGTATGTTTTGATTCTTCCTCTGCTTTAGGAAATTACACATTTATTGTATCGGTGTCTTGATTTGTTTTTGTTTTGTTCCTTGTTTCTCAATTTCAGTTGAAAATGCCGATACGCTGAGATATTTGGCTACTGTGTATGCCAACCACCATCCCAAAATGCATTCGGGTGACACTGGATGTCCAAACAGTCAGAGTATGCTGATTTCTTCCATTCATACTTCAAGTTTTTAAAACAACAGTTTATCTTTTCAGTAACAGGAAAATTGTCAGCATGTAACATTTTAAAATCAAACAGCCTCTGCTCTGTTAAATTTATTCGTAGAGGAACCATTTTTAGGTTGATGTTATCAATTATTTCTCTTTGTCACTGTCTCCCTCCAGTGGGCACCATCCCTAATGGTGTGCTTCGAGCAGCAGAATGGCACAGTCACATGGGCAGCATGAAGGTAGATTACATACTGTTAAGATTTTTTTAAATGTTTTTTTAAAAAGAAATCTCTTACATAAAGCTGCATTTATTCATTGAAAAAAAAAATACAGTAAAAACAGTAATATTGTGAAATATTATTACAATTTAAAATAGCTGTTTTCTATTTTAATATATTTCAAATTAATTTAATTTCTGTGATGGCAAAGCTGCATTTTCAGTCTTCAGTGTCACATGATCTTTCAGAAATCATTCTGATATGCTGATTTGGAGCTCAAGAATTTTTTTGTATTATCAATGTTGAAAACGTTTGTGCTGCTTAATATTTTTGTGGTAAACATGCTAATTTTTTAATAGAAAAAAAAATAGTTCAAAAGAACAGTATTTATTTGAAATAGAAACATCATAAATTTGTAACATTTATTATGTATTTAATTTAATTTGTCCTTGCTAAAAAAAATACTTATTTCTTTAAAAAAAAAATCTTATTGACCCCACACTTTTGAAGGGTAGTGTAGTTTTGTTCAGATTTTAAAAATAAGTACATATCTTGAAATCTGACTGTGTTGGTTTCTGTCTAATTTAGCTAGCTTCTACCAAGTGACAGATTAATTTTTGCAAAAAAATACCATAAAGTTGGATTGGACACAGCTTTGTATGACAAAACATTAAATCATATGGGAAGCGTTTTGCTATTCTAATCTTTTTTTTTTTTACATTTTGCATTTAGCTTGTTTTTTTTAACTGCTCTCTGCAGTACAATCAGAACAGACCTGAAGCCCATTTTTGGTCATGACCAACTAATTTACAATAATTTATAAAATCTTAATTCCTTCTAATAATTTCTGATTTTAATTTCTCTCTGATTGCTTTAATTTCTCTCTGATTGCTTCCTCTCCATGTTGTAGGACTTCAGTGTGGACTTTGGCCACTGTCCCGAGATCACTGTCTACACCAGCTGCTGCCTGTTCCCACCGGCTGAAATGCTGCCCACGCTATGGGCTGAGAACAGGAAGTCTCTTCTGAGCATGCTGGTTGAGGTCAGTACGTTGTCCTCCTCTCTGCCTTTCTGTTTATCACACTCCACTGCATCTCAGCTCTTCCTTTGCTGAAGCTGGTTCCTCTGTTCTAGGTGCACAAAGGGGTTCGTGGAGTGGTCAAGGATAAGAACGGTAAGCCCATCGTGGGTGCTATAATAGTATTAAATGGTGGTGTTCGAGTCTTCACCAGTGAGGGAGGTTATTTTCACGCCCTTCTGGCCCCTGGTTTACACAACATTGAAGCGGTGGCTGACGGCTACCAGCAACAGTCCCAGAAGGTGAGTTTTGTTGTTGTTGTTTTTTGTTTGGTTGGGTTTTTTGTTTGTTTGTTTGGGTTTCTTTGTTTAGGTTTGTTTTTGGTTTGGTTTGATTTTTGTTTGTTTGTTTTTGTTTTGTTTTTTTGTTAGGTTTGTTTTTGTTTTGTTTTGATTTATTTTAATACAGAATATTTTGTTTAACCAAACTGTACAATAATATACAATGCAGTATAATAATGAAGATAATATACTATCCATTTTTTCTTATTTTTCTACATACTGTATATAATACAGAATATTGAGTTTAATCAAAGTGTATAATAATGTATAATACAGTATAATAATGAATATAGTTTATTTGAAAGATAATAAAAAATTTTATTTTATTTTTATTAAAAATTAAGTGAGATCTATTCATTTATTTTCCACTGTTCCTGTTGCTCTTTTCAGGTGTCTGTGTCACCGTTTGAAGCAGCAAGTTCCATTATCATTGAATTTGACATGGAGAACGATATATTTGGCCTTCCAAGAGAATTAGTTGTGGCCAGCGCAGGTAGGCAGGTCAAATCTCTAAAGTACTCTATATTGATTGTGTTCGCAGTTCTAACCAACCATTTTGTTAAATGCTACATTAATATGTAAATATTCAATGGCTGATCTTTTTCATTACTCAATCCCTAGCTGCTGCAATGACGGCCTTGGTTGTGACAGCCTGCATCATCTGGTGCGTCTGCTCAGCCAAGTCAAACAGACAAAAAGATGGATTCCATCGGCTACAACAGCACCGGGACGACTATGACGATGAGATCCGCCTCATGTCTATGGGCTCCAAAAAGTCTCTCCTGAGCCACGAATTTCAAGATGAGAGTGAAAGTGACCAGGATACGCTTTACACCAACAAACTTTGAGGCCTTACTGCTCCCTGTCCTCCCCCTGAGTCTGTCCACACTGCCTGCAGGGCCAGTAGAGGGCGCTCAACGGCCAGCAGCGGTATTGTCCAATCTATTAAAACCTGAGTTCCACCGTGGGATGCACTTTAATGCCCTGTTGAAATCGGGCGAGCGTTTTGCACCGTAGTGTATGCAACTAACCACTGCTCTCAACCAGCCTGCTTAGTTATCTGGGTCTTTATAATACCGTTCCTCTACCCTTGGAAAAGGAAACCGAACAGCTAGAATCCATCTCAACAGGATTATGAAACACTGTGCCTTGTTAGATTAGAGGTTGCATGGTCGCTGCTGTTGTGAGGATGATGATTTTGTAGAGTAAATGGAATTTTGCTCCTCTTTTTTTCTGTGGGCCCGGATCAAAGTCAGGAATCAATTCATCTGAGAATCTGGTCTGCTCATTGGCTTTGAGTTTAAGTTTATGAAAAACACACTGCTGTGTTGCTTGTTATTTGCAATCATATAGCCAACGTAGTGACCCAAATATTTCACATTTTGCCTTTACCCGTTCACATTTACCAGTTACCCGTCCAATCTCAAATGTAGATATTTACATTAAGCAAGGTGACACATTAGATACGTAGCAGACAAACATATTCACTGCCTTCCCATTTCTCCTCTGTTATTTTGACATTCAGGGATATGGTGAAACAATAATAACTTCACACGGACATCATAGTGTTTACTCAGTGTGTCTGGATTCTTTTGTCTTAATGTGCACTCATGAAAATGTTGTCCGTTTTGTTAATTTAAAAAAATATATATTTATTTTTGTTTTAACATCCATCCAGCGAAACATTGATTTTGCTCACCGGCTCTCAGGCATCCCAAAAAGATCAGAAAAAAACTGTGCTGTCAACTTTATTCATGTAGTTGATGTTATTTGCAATTCAGGAAACGAATTAAAAGCATATAGTGTATATTTAGGCATCATCGTCTGATCAATATCTGCATCCTACATATTCTCTTCCAAAAAACCTTTAAAACATTGGTGATCATTTGAAAACATACATATAGTATATATATATAAAATGTTCAAATGCATTAAAGCACCGCAGTATGTTTCCTCCATGACTGGATGAGGCTTTGATTGTGTGACACATTGAGCAATCTGAAACCAGCAGAACACCTGCGAGTATTTCTTACTGTGAGCAGGCAGCTTCACTCTGTCACTGTTATGAATCAGTGAATCATTTTCTGAATCATTCTACTCTCTAAAAGTTACACGTATGAATTGGATATAGAAGATGAAGACTGGTGGGGCATTGTTCATGCTTTTAAAAGAGAAAAGCAACAAACACCCTATTAAAACCCTTAATGGAAGATTCAGATTTTTATTTATAATTCATATCATTCTGTGCCAGTCTGACCATTCATACAAGTCTAATGTTAGTAAGTGGGAAAATTATGTTTCTATGATTTATTTAGTCATTGATCCTATTACCAACAAAATTTTTATTTAATTTGGCTTGATGTTGATTGTCATGCTTGAATGTAAATTTCTGGGTGTCTTTGAACAAATATGTAACTTTTCTATGTTTGTGCTGATGTTTATTTTTTTCTTTTTATACAACAATGATTGTAGATATCGAATTGTTGCCAACTATATGTAAATTACACAGGTGCAATTTTTGTCAGTGAAAGAACTGCACAAATAAAGCTGTTTGTGTATTAAAGAAATGGTGTGTAATGAGATGAAAATAAAAATTAATCTTTGTTCTGAATATTTGAAGTGTTCTTTAATATGATCATGTTTTTGATGCAGTTGAACAGTATCTAACTCTGTCTATATATAAAAAAAGGAAAGTGGGAACTCAAATCCATGGACTAAAGAATATGGATATAATATGACCAAATAATCTACAGCAGGGATGAGTATTTTTAAGATCCCAGTAGATCCTTTAAGATCCTAATAATGTATTATATATGAAAATGTTTGCGTATGTATATATTAAAAAAATTATATTTTGTATTCATTGAAAATGTAAATTGACACTAAGGCATATTGATTGTGTGTGTGTGTGTGTGTTACATGCTGGTTATATAACATATATTATTATTGTATATAAAATAAACTAAATATGTTTAAACTTAATGTGCTTGTATATTTGAACTATGCTCTCACTAAAGATAAAATACAGGAAAACTTGAAGGCCAAAGGAGAGTGCGTTTCTCCCATAGATTGTATAAAAAGGTTTCTCCAGAACAGCACGTGAGGGCGCTGTGAGGTCAGAGAGCAGTGAAGTGCTCGTGCAGCGCTCGTGAAGCGCTCTTGCTCGAGTCTCCGCCTCTGCCAGCACCACCGCGGATGACGTTGAACAACAAAGATGGCAGGAGGAAACAGCAACTATTGGGAAGGTGAGGTGGCAAAGCGTTACAAATTCAGCTCGACCAAAAGCTTTACTGCGCTTTGTGACAGCTCACGCCAATTCCTTGTTCTGAACAGTCTTTGGCGACGTTTCCATGAAAACGCTGTCAGGTTACCCCGTTAACTATCGCCGTTAGCATTAGCTCGCTAGTTCGCACAAACGTCAGTGCTTCCGATTAGCCCAAAAACCTGAGGAATACAGCGAGACATCTTTCATATCTCTTTAAACATTTGTCAGATGGTTTTCATTTTATACAGACTTTCTGTATTTAATGTAACACGAACATATATAAGCTGTGAAAAATTTTAAGCAGCTGTTTGTATATGAAGCTGGAACAAGATTATTCACCAAAATAAAATAAACTCATGGGCCGTATTTCAAAATTTAAAAAACTGCTTTCCTAGACAGCACTTGAGGGCTTCATATCCACGTTTTGAATGTTTGTGACTCCGTAGACTGTTGTGACAATAAATATGAACGACCAGGTAGACTAATATGAATGTTTTGTCTTTTATATGCATAAATAACTACCAGCTTAAGTTGTCAGTGATATGCTGTGTATAATTTTATAACATTTTCTGATGTTATTTTGTTATCTAATGTAAACTGTCACTAACTCTGGAGACGCTGTCTTATATTTTTGAATGTGTATATATCCACTGAAATGATTTACTGAATGTAATCTTTATTTTATTGCATGTTGACAGACCTGCGGAAGCAGGCGAGGCAGCTGGAGAACGAGCTGGACCTGAAGCTGGTGTCCTTCAGTAAGCTGTGCACCAGTTACAGCAGCTCTCGGGACGGCCGTAGAGGAGACAGGTGTGATGCCACTGTACCTCATCGAAGGAATTGTAATGTTTTCTAAATCTCATTAGAAAGATTATGGTGGTAATAATAATAACACTGTTCTGTTCTCTCTCTGTTCAATAGTTCGGATACAACACCTCTGCTCTCCAACTCCACTCAGGACAGAATGTTTGAGACCATGTCAGTGGAGATTGAGCAGCTGCTTGCGAAAGTAAGATCTCTGTAAAATGTGCCAATGTTAGGTGCTATATGTTTTCTTTATAGTCTTCCAACCTGCTCCACATGTATGTTAAATTACGTATTGACTGATAAAGAGTATTTTTTTTAGTGGTCAATAACTGATTTCTAGAGCAGGGTATATATTTCAGTATATACAGTACCACTAAATGAAAACAAATAAGATAAATAAAAAAAGTTAATAAGTATGCAAATAAATAAGTACACAATTTAATCTGAATGTATTTATTTTACACATTATTAATTAGATGATTTACTAATGGTTTTGTCTCACTTTGTTTCTGTGTTTTATAGCTTACAGGGGTGAATGACAAGATGGCTGAGTATACAAGCACACCGGGAGTAACGTCTCTGAATGCTGCTCTAATGCACACTCTCCAGAGGCACAGAGACATCCTACAGGTGAGTTTCTTATCATTTATAATTATAATATGCCCAACTATTAATATACATGAATATTAGACTACTGTTTAAAAGTTTGGGGTCAGTAAGGCATTTATTTATGTTTATTTATGCAATTATTATTATTTTTAAAGAAATTAATACTTTTATATAGCAAGAATGCATTAAATTGATTCAAAGTGGGAGTAAAAATTTTAAAAAAATACTGAAAATATATTTTAAAAAATATATAAAAATACAATAATATTAAGCAGCAAAAATTTCTAATTATTTATAGTAATAAGAAGAAATGTTTTTTGTGCACCAAATCAACATATTAGAATGGTTTCTGAAGGATCATAAAGGCCGGAGTAATGGCTGCTGAAAATTCAGCTTTGTGATCAGAGGAATAAATAGCATAACTGTGTTCTATTTTAACATTTTATGTAGTAATGTTTCATAATGTTACTGTTTTTACTGCATTTTTGATCAAGTAAATGCAGCCTAGGTGAGCATAAAAGACTTTGTTTATAAAGATAAAAAAACAAAAACAAAAACAACAACCCCAAACTTTTGAAAAAAATAGTGTATTTATTATGAAGACTGTATTCTCAAGATGAAAGGGCACTTCCTGTATTTGACATCAATATAGCTGGCCTTTCATATTTATAACCCCTTCATCTCTGTTTTCCTTCTGTAGGACTACACACATGAATTTCATAAAACCAAATCAAACTTCATGGCAATCAGGGAGAGAGAGGATCTTTTGGGATCTGTGAGAAAAGACATTGAGTGAGTTTTCTCTTTAATTTCCTTTTGAAACCAAAAAGGTTATGAAGATCGATTCCATCTAATGTGTAGTTAACCTGGATTAGGAAAGCTTGTATATGGAATGATAGTTCTCTCCAAAAACATGGTTTCTGCTTACAATTCAAGCTGTCTGGTCTTTATACCTCCATGCTGTTTCATCCCAGAGCAAAGCATAAACATTTGTTTAATCCAGGCCTTGATGAAATCTATGGATTTTTTTTTTCGCATTTCAGGATTCTTCTGAATGGATTTAAAAATGTGTTAAACTGATATGGGATTGACACACTCTTATTTTAGTATATTTAATAAACTAATACGTGAAGAACGTGCAAGCATTCTGTGGAGTTCTGCAGTCACCGATTTGACATGGTTCTGGTTGTAACCCTGAGATCGTGACTGCAGGGCTGGATAATGACTTATTGATCTGAGCCGCAATGCTCTAGCACCTCTATGGACTGCTTATTTAATTTGTGTGCCTTGAAATAGTTGTGGTACCATATATGATGAGAAAAACTCCATACTGCTCCTTGCAGTTGCTATTGAACTTATTTTTTTAGTCTAAATAAACTGACTGTCAGGGTTAGATTTGAGCTCAGTCCATCTCTCACAGCGCTGTATTTATAAAGCCTGTATTTACACAAGTTAGGGCTACGTCCCTCTCTGCCTCATATTCAGCTGCCTCCAACTCACCTGACCAGCTGTAAACTTGTTTACCCAGAATAGAGAACAGCACTTCGGCAGATTTTATTCACTTGAGCATCAATTTAAAATGGGTTACTCTTAGAATGTTGCCCAGATTTGACCTAATCAATCAGTACTCTGATGAAATTATATATAACTCAGGAAAAGAGCATTCTGATTATTAATAACCTGAACATACATTGTTTTACTACCAAAATTTGGAGTCTGTTAGATCTTTAAAAACTTACTATGAAAGAAGTCTCTTGTGCTCACCAAGGCTGCATTTATTTGATCAGAAATACAGTAAAAACGGTAATGTTTTGAAATCATTTAAAATAACTGCTCAGAAAACATTTCTGATTATTATCAATGTTGAAAACAGTTGTGCTGCTTAAGATTTTTGTGTAAACGTGATGCATTTTTTTCCATGTTTTTTGATGAATAGAAGGAACAGCATTTATTTGAAATATAAATCTTTTACATTAACATTATAAATGTCTTTACTGTCAATTTTGATCAGTTTAATGTGTCCTTGCTGAATACAAATATTAATTTCTATAAAAAAAAGATATCTTCCAGACCCCAAAATTTTGAATGGTATACGTCTTGTTAATAGATCATATTATCTGAATCCCACTATTGTTAAATTTATTGATTATTGTACAGACACGATCTGTTGTAAGATTTTTACTTATTGTTTGTCAATATTGTTTGTCAAAGTCAACATCCTAATAATTTAATGTATTATTCTGCAAAATAGTGTAGTAGAAAGTGGTAATAATCATTCATTCATACAAGGTGTAATATTCATATTTACCCCCAGAGGGCGATGGGGCACCTTTTGTAACACCCTGCTGGATTTGCCAGCCAATGTAGAGCATTGTTTGCACACACATACCCAGTTACTTTCTGTCGTGCAGACTGTAAAGGTTCTAGTTTCACCCGGGCCACCGCCAAAGCCTCACTCCTTGAGTTTGTGTGGTGCGTGTCGTGCCTGCTGTGCTTCTCCTGTTACTGGGCTCCCCATCGATCAGCAGCTCAGCGCTATAGAAATGTCAGCAGGCAGAAATGACAAAGCCCCCTGTGTGATTTAGTGCACTGCCCTTTAAAACCTTGTTGGAATGATTAAGTTGGCTGTCGGCACCCTGTCGCTGTGATTGGTGTGGACTGACAGTTGATTTGACCAGCGGGCAGGTGTAATCCCATAGAAACTGAATTAATATCCCTTCTATATCAGTCTGTTTACAATAGGTACATAGAAATCCCACCAGAGGATTGAGTGGGTGGAGCCTAGTTCAGACAAGGTTGTCGTTCAGGCTGCCATTTCTCACCCTCATAAACTCTCCCATCTGAGATGGAGATTTGTTTTAATTTGTGCTGTCAGGCCAGTGGGTGTCTTTAGAAAAGCCTAGCTGGTGTTGCACAAAGCAGAGGGGGTGTTTTTGTCTTTCATTTTCTTGATGAACTCTTGGGAAAGGGCTGTTCTTCCCAGCACTGTATTCATTCATTATTTACACTAAATGCTCTCTGTGAGAGAGAGCTTGTGCATGGCACAGGATGAAGAGAAACCCTCAATATTAACCCAACCCCCACTTCATCTGAAGTGCCAGACTTTCTATAGAATGATGTTCATAAAATGCCACCTGGGTGATTGCATGTTTCTGTTTAATTGTTAATTAATTTTCTTTTCTCTTGTCAGGACATATAAGAGTGGCTCGGGGGTGAATAACAGGCGGACAGAGCTCTTCCTGAAAGAACACGAGCACCTGAGAAAGTAAGACCCTACCTCTTCTGCTGTCTACTTGACGAAATTCACGGAAATTCACAGTAGCACAATTTTTATGTGAAGAATAGGGGTGTGCAGCGAAGCCAGTATTTGTATCTGTATTTGTATCTGTAACGATCACAAAATTATTCTGTATTTGGATAAAACCGGAAGTAGGCGGAGCTTGAACCAGAAACTTTGTACAGTTATGTTTGATAACACTGTTATGTTTATGGTTTTACAGCCTATCTTCTTTCGTAGTTATCACTGAACAAATATGCCGTGTTTAACTAAAATAATTATTTATTTATGATTATAACATTTATTTAAATATCTTCTAACAGTCGGAGCCGTTTTCCTTGTATAGGCAGTGTTTCGAGATGTAGTGCGGTTGTGCTTCGAGCAACGTGAGTTCGAGTCCCAGCTTGGGGACCTTTCATGATCCGATAAATAGATATTTAAATATCTAAATTAAAACAGTAAGGGTTCCTACGCAGTTTAGAAATTAGGGCTGCACAATAAATCGCATGCGATATTTAACGCGCATCTTGTCAGTAAAGCCGGTTCTTTAATCAGCGGTAAATCTCCATCACCTGCGTGCTTTCA